GTGTGTGTGTGTGTGTGTGTGTGTGTGTGTGTGTGTGTGTGTGTGTGCATGAGCTCATTTGCTGTTTATCAGTATATTCATGTGTATTAAGCTCATGGCTGTGTTCTGCATGTGCCCAGTAGGTTCCTCCTCGAATCCTATTACCACTTCAGCACACGTTCCCAGATCTGCTACATGTTAAGCACTCAGTCCTCCCACACGTCCACTTAATAACACAAAACGTGATGGATGCTCCGCCCGGCACATGCACAGACCCAAAGAATGCTAAACACAGGAACATAACTTGCAATTAATTGCCCATTTGTAAAAGTTGCCCACATATCTTCTGTTCAAAGGAATTTGGAACATCATTATTTCTCTCTCTGTAATGGAGTAGCGGCGGACGGCTCTTTCCAAGTGCTGCGTTCTAGATGCATAGCACCGCCATGCCTCCGCTCCTCCGTCTGCCGGTTCCCACTGCAGGGCTGGAGTTGGATGGAGGTTTTGACTCTGAGCCATGATATAATGTTGGACGGGAGCCCTCATATTTCAGCTCTGATGTGAAATCGGCCCAGTGGCTTTTTTCGGACTCAAATTGGGTTTATATTGTGTCAGAAGAGGGAGAGATGTTTTTTAAAAATAATAGCCATGGATGCCATGAAACAGAGCGTTCTTACTGCAGAGCTTTTGATCCGCTTTTTATAAATAGCAGAATTTTGTCGTAAAAAATAATGTTTCTGTGGTCTTTTCCTGCAATTAAAATAAGGTTGGCTCGGGAACAAGGGCAAAGCTAAGAACTTGTGTTTGAGAAAAGTTTTCTCTCGCTCTCTTACTCCCCCTTCTCCCCTCCCCTCCTTGCTTTCCCTCATCTGCGAAAGCATGTCATTTATGACTTGTTATTTTCATTTTTGCGCCACGTTTCGCACATGTTCGCAGATGTCTGATAATGGCATGGCGGACCCAGCAGAAGGGCGTGTTCCACCTGCCCCGCTGCTGTGTGTTTTCAGCCGCTGCGCGTACGTGGAGGGCGCCGCGCTTTCCCAAGGCATTCTCCGGTTCCTCCCGGGCCGAGCCGTGTGGTCTTCACATGACCAATCAAATATGTCAAACCAGCCAGTGTTTTCCCCCCACATGTACAACAAGAAAATCTGGCTTCAATTATTATTGCACCCCAAGGGGAACTTCCAAAATTCCTCCCCTCCTCATTTGTCAGAAATGAAGCTCTCTCGTTTCCTGCGATTGGCTGAAATATGTCTTTTGATATTAAATCACGCCGGTTTCCACTGGCTGCATGACCAAGACAAATGTTTATCATATTTATTTATGTCATCGGAGATGACCCCGCGGCTCCGCAACGCAGGAGACTTGGCCCGCCGACTCCCATGTAATGTTGATTATGAGTAAGAGAGTCTCCTAAATAAGCCCAAGTTAAGAGATAATTTGGAAAGCATATGAGGTAACTGTGGTTTGTTTAATGTGAAAAATACCGTTCGGGGTTTGGGGAGGGTGATGGAGGTACTGTTACAAAAGCCCTAATGAATCTAGACTGACACATCCCACCCAAATCTTACAGGGCTCTTGGTTTGATTTGTATTGCGCTCTGTTGATAAATGTGGTTCCAAATGTTGATTAAGGATCTGTTTCACTTGTTTGTATGTCAACAAATCCAGCTAAATCCAGTTATACACCTCTGATCTCCCATTGCCATTGTTTTTGTACTTGGTGCGCATTGTCATAACATCACGCTCTGGTAGAGGCCTTTCCAGCGTGGCTAAAGGGGGGCGCTATATGAAAATTGCCATTGACGTTCCCGAAACAAATAAAACTACTCATGCTGCCGCTACATCTGTAGCCATTTTGAGCCCTTATTTATACCATTTAAGCTCTCATTTGAATTCACCAGCACAAATAAACATATAACGAAGCGAGAGCCCTGATGTCATGTGCAGATGTCGAATTCTGATTATTCCTCCTGCCTCGTGAAATTTCGCCGGGATCTTGTCTCTCGAAAGGCAAAAATAGATGACATCACTTTTTCTTGGCGCTGACCGGGGGGGGGGGGGGGCGCTGCCCACTCCTGACAATATCTCTGCATCTCTCCTGCCATATCGCAGTTTGTGTATACTCTACAAGAGTTTCTGGAGCCCAAAAATAGAAAGAGGGAGGCGATAAGAGTCTCCAGACTACTGTGCCGTCCAGCCAGGGGTTTGAGCAATGTTTACTGCCAACGATAAGTTGGCATGAATCTGAACTTCTATAAAAAGGCAAATTATTTCACCTGAGGCCTGCGGAGTTATTTATCCCAGAGCCTGGCTGTAGCAGAGGCTTTGATTTAGTCTTAAATCATCCAGTAAAAAAACGTGTGCTACTAAACCACTGAGGAGGCAGATGGCCGTAGTGGTTAGGGCCTGCTGCCAGAAGCTCTTTACTGGTTCAGTATAACAGACTACCTGCTCCACTCCTGGAGTCATGTACTTCTTTGTAATTGACTATAAAAAGTACAGCCTGACCCAATGTGACCCCCACAACGATAAATAAAGCCGATTCATGTTTTATACATTTAGGTTGGGTGGACCTAGACACCTGCTTGTTACCCCCTGCTACATGTAGTCCGCCTCTCAGAGATCCAAGTCATAGTCCAGCCTGGGCATCCTTAGGATCATTAGCATCACTACGGGATTTGTCAAGTGACTCAACTAAACAGTGTTTTTCCCTCTCTCTTCACCTCTAGACGCGCGTTGCACCTCGGCATCCTGCGAGACCCGGGCTCAGAGGTGGAGGACCGGCAGTATCAGGTCGACCTGCAGTCCATCAACATCGGAACGGCTCAGTGGGAGCAGCTCAAGCCAGAGAAGGAGGGGACCAAAGGAGGGGTGTCCGCGGAGAGTGAGAGGAGCTCGCAGAACCCGGCCCTGGAGTGGAACATGGCCAGCAGGTCAGGAGGAGACACTTCAGTATTTGCATGTAAAGACTAAAGGGAAGACGATTCTGTGTGATTAATTACTTCAAGAAGACACCAATACTTTGGTTTTCTTGTTCATATAGTAAATTCTTGTTTTGAAAAGAAGTCTTGGTGCGTCCACTGTAGAATAGTTCAAACAACAGAATTGAATTGAACTCTTAACAAAATTCCCTGTTGTCTACAAAACAGAGGAAAGTGAAGAAAAAAAAGAATTCTGGTGAATCATTGACTTAGTCTGATAAGTCAATGATCAACAAACACCTTTACAACTCAATTATTTTGACAAAAACACCTGTTTTTAACAGGAATACATTTTCTTTTATATCACACTTAGAAAATAGAGCACTAGATTTTTTATTTTTTTTTACTTTCTCAGGGCTTCCGTAGTTTAAAACACACAAAAAAAGACACTACACAGGCTAACCACTCAGCACATTTCGGGAGTGGACCAATGTGACCAGTAAAATTCAACGTTTTACAATCCACACAGAGCCGCATATCTCTACCAGGACTTAACACACAAGGACAAAATAGGGCTCGGGCTTAACACATTAAACCAGGACTGAAATGTTTGTGATTACTGAAATAACATCCGTCAGGTGACCAAAAAGACAAACCCAATTCAGACTCTTAAGTCTATTTAGATGAACCCATTCATTGACCACAGCCAGAGTAATTGCTGCTAGGTTAAATTGTTACTAATTAATTGTTAAATTGTGTGTGTGTGTGCGTGTGCGCGTGCGTGCGCGCATCATGTAGTTATTGAGTTAGCGCCCTATCATGGAGCCTCTCCATGCACAGTCGTAATTACAAACCCCGTCATTTTTTTATAGACTCGGGAGCTAAAACAAGCACGAGTGTAACAGCCTGTTTGGCCCCACATCCTTTTTTTTCCACTCATGTTTTGAGAGGGAACAGGCCCAAAAATCACAGGATCACAGGCAAGGACTGCAGATTTGTTGCCTGTCAACTAAAAATAAGCCTCGTGGAAGAATGCAGTGCAGAATCAACACGGGCCCGATTGAGACTGAGCACCCTCAGGTCACCGGAGCATGGAGGGGATGCTGGCTGAGACACACACACACACCTTTCACACAATGCACAGTAAATAGACACGTTTTTTGTTTTTTTTACTGTATGTCTTACAGATACACACACGCAGTTTGATATGATAAATGACTGCTGGTGATGCTGAGCCCTCAGCTCTTAGACCTTTTACTGTAACAACCAATTTGTTGGATGTCACCCAGTTCTCTCTCCTCCCTAATTTTCTGTCGGCTCCCTGCTGTACACCATCTAATTAAGGCAAAACTGCCCAAAAGACTCTGTAAAAGTTAGTTGATTTACCTCTTTCAGGCTGAACTGCAAAATACTTTTTAGGCAAATGTACGGAAGCCCTGAGAGGTAAGTGAGAAATTGCGAATGATCTAAATAGTTTTCTCTACTTTGTTTATGATTTAAGAACAGGTGACAAAAGGTTTTGCCAGGATAATCTTTGTATTTTCCTTAAAAAATGTTTTCATCTGTGAAACAGGTGATTCTTTTTCATCGATATGCTTCTCCATGCACTCTAAACACAAGGTATATAAATTGTGCGTTAACAAGTTATGGGAATTAATCCTCACCTGGTAGAAAACATGAATGTTTTTTGTACTGTTTAGAACATGGAGTAGTGGTGCTTCTTGTGGCTGAAAATAGTATTACAACAAATTACAACAATCCCCAGTTTTCAAAGATGAAAAATAATGAAAATTGATCCTGGCAAAACTTAATTTTTTTCCACCTGTTTCACAGATTAAAAAATATTTAAGAAATAAGAAAGAAATTATTCTGAAAAATTCTGTTTTTCACCTGTCTTAAACACAGCAGAGACAACTATTTAGATCAGACTTTAGTTTCTCACTTTCCTCTTGGGGCTGCCATACGATTGTCAAGTTAAAGCTGAGGTTCTCACCACACTTCTTAGAAGAAGCTTTAAACATCACGATGAAATAGGGTGGTAGAAGCAAGAATGCATTTTAAGTTACTTTAGTTTATATTTGAGTGTTTTGGTATGTGTTCACTTTAAGGCAAAGTGTTGATTTTTATATTTGAAATCAACTCACATTTAGAAAATAATGATTTGAATAGAAAATAAGCCATGCTGTCTGGTTGGTCAAGAGATAGAAAGTCTTCAATCAGATTGTTTCATATCAGTCATTGAGATGAATCCTTCAACCAGAATGGTTCAGAATCAGTAAGCAAGTACAGCTTTAGTTTTTCACATTTCAACAAGACAATGGAGTGGACCTATTGGATGTTTTTTCTAACCACTAGACCACCGTGATTCATTTTCACTCTCCCACTGTGTCCTCAGTAGTATTGGCCATCTATCCCATAATCCTCCTTTGTCCTGACCTTCTGCTAACCGTTCCAGGGTCTGTATTAAAACGGCCCTTTGAAGTAGCGGACTTGGACCTCTACGTAGCCTCTTACCCTCTTATTCCTGAGACCCTAACGCTCATATGAGCAGAAGGCTACTGCTCTCGTCAATCCAGTCGTAATTTTTTCTTTTCTACTCTCAATTTGCCCCGCTGTCGATGAAAACAGGGCTGCGCGGGCCCACTGCCAAGGCCAAGATCCTGACAGGGCAATGAGGTGAGATTTTGGGCTGACGCTTTGGGCTCCAGAAGATGCCGAATGCCTTTGAGTAGACTCAACTTTGCTACAGCTGCAGGTCTGGTTTTCTATTCATAACTTGATTACAGGATGACCTAACATGTAGCTTAACAGTTACTTTTGTTCTCAAAGGATTGACACACATTATTACATTGTAGCGAAGGTCACTTTGGTGTGACGTCGACTTTTTGCCAATGTAGAGTGTCGTAGTGATTAATCATCTAATAATCAGAAGGTCTAATCTTCATCTCTTTTCATGTTCATGTTCTTGAAAGTTGAAATTCACACCAGTGATGCTTCTGTGCGGTCACGGCGAGAAGGTCAAATTTGCCGTTGTCGCCGAGGGTTTTTGAACCCCACCCTCGCTCTCACTTTGAGCTTCCAAATAAATCAGAGGTGGCTGCGGTTGCCTCCTCGTTCCTTCCTCTCCTCGCCGTGGCGGGAGAACCACCGGAGGTTCCGTTGGAAAATTGGGCTTTGCTGTGCCGCCACATGCTGCACTGCAATACCCCGGCCTCAGACACCACCAGCACCACCGAGTCATAACTGAACGTGTGATTGAGAATGTTCCGACACACCGAGGAAAGGGGAGTCAAGTTCACAGCTTTACTTGTCCGCTGCAATCACTCGCAGAAATACACCACCTCGCTTGTAACAAGTTTTGACACGCACCACTTCCAAAGTTCACACCTTTCCCTCGTTCCCTACATCGATACCCCCCACCCACACCCCCACACCCTCCCCTCCTGCTCCCTCCAGCTTTAGAATTGTGGCTGTTTTTTGGAGTTCAATTCCAGTAGTTGCGGATCTGTGGCCTCAGTTGGTTTCCTGAGGGGTTTTTTTTTTTTGCGAGGAAATTCCAGCGTTGTGGATCCACTGACAGGATCTGTCCTTGTCACGCCGTGTATTTGCCGGCTAAGGAAAGACCCGTGTCATGGAGCTGTGAACTCTCTCCATCGCCTCCCCCCATCAGCCACCCAGTGCAGGCTTCCCTCTTTTTGCCCGTGCCACGGATATCTCCACTTACTGTTCACACTGTGCAGCTTTGCATGAAAACAGAGTCCTTCTTTCCGTCCTTTGTGTTCCACCGGTCCTGTCGCAGGACTCACGTATTGCTGGTAAACCGAGCCCTACGCCTCCTGGCCCCGCTGGTGAATGATAGCACCTGTCCCCTGCAACCAGACACTCATTGTTTCAATCCCTGTCTGAGGGGAGATTAGCCAACAGCAATTGGCCCCACAGATCATTTCACCTCCGAATTAGGGCCTCCCTCGAAGTCTCCACGCAGAGAAATGTGTCAGGAAATAATCCCTTAAGGGCACTGGTAATGCACATTTGTGTAGCAGAAGTGAATATGATATTGGTGCTGGTTAAGTACTGTACTTTAGGCCACCTAGAAACAGGGCCTTTTATAATCCTGGCCAACTATAAATATTGGAAGCCGTACCACTTGATTGTTTTAATAGCAGCAGATGTGGCAATTAACACCACTTTGTAAAGCCCCCTTGTATATTTGTTTTACTGCTAACAAATGTTCCCACAAATATGGCTTGATTGTGGGAATGAACATTAGTGGAGATGGAGAGAGTTGATGTGAGAAGGTCTCCATTTGATCTTGTGTATACAATTAAGGGGTGTTCCCAATTGAGACTTGTCAAATAACGTCTCACTCCATCTCTGTAGCCATGCGGTGTTCAAGCGCGCGCCTCAAATGTGTTAGACCAGAAATGTTTTTTTGTTTTTTTTAAGCCCACTTATGGGAATATTTCACAAGTCTGGCCTGTGAGAGGAAAATCCAGTTCAGCTTTTCATTCTACTGGTTTGGATTCAAGAAAGAGTTTGAAATGGGAGCCTGCCTGTCAGCTCAGGGCAAAACAAAAGCTCCGTTTTGAACATGTTGCGGTTTCCACTGTGTTGTGTTGACTGGTCGTGTCCTCGGCAGATGGGAACAGTGTTACAAACATTTTACAACTGGTAACCATAACAAGTTATTAGTGAATAAAGTTTGGTGGGAATGCAAGCGAATAAGTGGTCCCTTATGGTTGCTGTCGGAATCGCTTCAACACCAGGACTACTCACTTTTAAGTAGAATGTAATTCAGTTATTTCTAAATGAGGTACCCGATCTCCAAATGTCCAGATTCATCCCGTCATTTTCTCCACATATTAAGAGCATACGTATAAGTTACGGAACCTGTCTGAAGAAGTGCCTGCTAATGGTTTGATCCTCTATGTGTCTCCGTTCAGTATCAGGAGGCACCAGGAGCGGCGGGCCATCCTGACGCCCATCCTCACTGACTTTTCTGTCCGGGTCACTGCTGCCCCGGCCATCATCTTCAGCAAGAATCTGTCCCCTGACTGTGGACCGGCAGAGGTCAGTGTCCACCCAACATCAATCCAGGGTTACACCTTTCTCTGAAGAGGATTCATATGTTTCTGAAAGAGTAGATTTCTATGTGCTGTGGCAAGCTAGTTAACACAGTAATAGTGAAAGAATGAAAGTATCCAAATGTAAGTTTAATATCGGATAATAAATGAAAAGGAGGATGTTTGTGGGTCCAGAATTGAAATGATCCAAAATAGCCCTTTAATGGGCGACACTACAGGTGAATAGGGTTCAACATCTTAACCCATAGATATCCCCATGAAACTTCCCCCGCTGATTATTTACATTAAGAATCCATTTTCTTTTTGTATTAAGAGTTTTCAGAAATTTCATATTTATATATGCAAATGTCGAATTACCTTATTAAATATATGCATATTTTCATACATTTCCAGATCAGAAATGTGAACATTTTTGTTTCATTTTGTTGACATAATCGAGTCAAAGGGTTCTACAGAGGGGATTTTGGATTCCTCTTTTTATCACTTCATAAATCTGTCAGTATTGTCAACATAAAACAAATGTTTTTAGTAGTAAATGTTGTATAAATGATGTATGAACAAACCCCTCAGTACAAACCTTCAGACTGTAGAGAGGAATGACAGTGTGAAGTCTGGTGCATGTAAGAGCTGCTGAAGTGGAGATTTCTGCATCAGAGTCTGATTTACAAATTTAAATAGAAATTTAAAGATATGAATCGTAAACTGACATTTGATGACACGAATGTGAATACGCTAAAAAAGAAAAGAACTAATAAATATCACCATGAAACTTTCTCAGTTGATTACTGACATTAAGACAATTGTTTTTTTCATCACAAGTTTTCTGAAATGTTCTGTTTAAATATGCAAACTAGTCATTATCTAATGGTAGCTCTTAGTGAAGTTAGTAGAAATCTACCGACACAAATAGACAACGTAGTAAAATAAATGTTTCCTCTCCACTCGTCTGAAAGAAGACTTGTTGTTTGAGCATGTAGCCCAAAATCTCTGCATTGAATAGCAAATGAAAAACAATGTTTGTGGCTGCAGTGTCTCCCCTTAAACGAGGATTTTCTAAGAGAGTTTCGCAGGTTGCGCATTTTTCTTCTACTTTGTGGAGGTTTGTTCACCACTTACACTTGACATTGAATGCCCTCTGACTGCGACCTGCTACAGCCATGATTGTAACCATTACTCTCTCAGTCTGCTGTCCATATGAAAATAGACATTGATGATGTGAGATGTCAGAAGTATTTACTCTCTGCCTCCGCAACATACAGTAACTTACTCATTAGGAATCCCTCCGCCCGGTCCGCCGTGTAATGGAGGCTTCTGACCCACACAGCTCAGACCCGTTGTGCTTATACAGCTGATGTTTTCTGGCACAGCTCCCTGAGACTTCCTGCCTCTTTTATGCCCCGTACGTCCACGCTAACGCGCCCCCTGACAATGTGTAACAGCTAATCCATAGTTTGCACTGACGCGCACACACACACAATGTGATGTGTATAACTCCCTGAGATATGGAGACTCAGAGCCAGTAACAACACAAACAGGACTTTTAATAACAGTTTGTATCATAAAATTCATTTTCAACTAACTGTTTTAATGGAGGTGCACCCACGTTACACACATGTAACAGCTGTTTTTTATTGACTTATTAATGCATTCATTATAATGTTCACTACAAGTTCCTCATCTGCAGTCTAAATTTTCATTCACTGCTGCAGCATAATATTCTGTAACTATGTGACCGTGTGATATGACCTTGTGTGTTAGAATAACTGCTACTACTACTGCTACATCTACTAAAAAAATAAGAGTGATTCTTTCCAGTCAGATGTTTGAGAGGACCGTTCTATACTTTTGAATTGTCTTTCATCCTCTTTACTGATAAATTGTTGATAGTTTAGTACGTGAAGAAGAAACAATGTGCAATGGTTCAGCCAGGCTGACGACAGAAAGACACAACGATCCCTCTGAGCAATAGATGAATCGGAACAGAAGAAACCAGCAGTCATTGGTAAAAGAAGCTGGATGCTTGGCATCAAAATGTGTGCAGATTTAAAAAGGAACAGCTTCTTGTTTCAGTGTCGAGTCTTTCACAATAAAGCAGCGTAGAACAAGCTGGAAGGAACAGGCAACATGCTTTCGCACTATTGGATTATCAGCTGAACAAATCACAGCTTAAATAACTTGAGTCTAACCACTGAGTAGACTGCAGAGGGCCCAAAGTCAAAACAGTTACCCAAAATAGTTTCGAGCCAAAATGCAAGAACCATTGTGGTTCAATAATGATTGAGGATCACTTGTGCTTTTCTGGACTGGAACACCAATTCATAATCAAAGGCAGTATTGTCCCCTGGCATGTAACACTTTACGATTTCATCATTTCATTCTTCTTCTTTTGGGGCCAAAACTATTTCATTTTTATATAATACACTTAGTGTCTAAATTATTCTTCATATTCTAATTATACGTTTTGTCTCTGTTAAGATAGAAACAACAAAGAAAATATTATATTTATGATACATTGAATATTGAATCAAATACATTACCAGTCCTTTTATGTTTTTTAAACAGTGGGTCTGAATAGATTATGTTTACACAGTAGTTGCCAATACCACTGTGTGTAGTCACTGTAGTCTGGCCCGTGTGTGTGTGTGTGTGTGTGTGTGTGTGTGTGTGTGTGTGTGTGTG